GATGTCCTGGGAGAGGAGCAGGAGCCAGTGGCTCTCCGACATCCTGCTCCAGCAGTGCAACCTTTCTGCAGCTCAAGCATCCCGGGAAGCCTGCACTGCATGAGGAAAACCATGCTGACACCACAGCGCCGGAGCAAGCTGCACCCTGGTGTGGTGAAATAGCTGCGATCAGTTAATCTCCCAGGTGTATCAGGACTCGGTGTAACCCGAGACGCTGCTGCTCCACCCGCCTGCGTCTCTGAGACTGAGGACCTCCCGAGCACCTCCTCCCCTCGGTGGACAGAGAGGGGCTGTGTCATTCTGCTCGCTCTGAGCTCCTTCCCGTGCTGCCGTCTGCAATGGAGACCAACCTGCACACCAAACCCCCTTTTTCCCAGTTCCCTTCAGTCCTAGATCTTCTCATTTTGCTTCATTCCAATTATAAACTCAGAAAGGGCTAATTCATGGTTCTGAAGGGGTTTGCTCAGGGAGAAGTGATGCCTTTCCTCCTTGGAGCATCTATCTCCTTTCCAGAAGCATTCAGGAGGGTTTGCAGTGCTGCCTTCACAGGCTGCCACTCCTGGTCCCACTGCTGGAATGAGAAAGTGGCTCGAAGTGGGGCAGATTTTCACTTACAGCACGGGAAAAAATCCTGTTATTCCCAGAAACCCAAAACTTTCACAACAGCATGTATTTTTTACAACTCCAAATTTTGGATTTGGAGAGGCCACCCCTGCCTCCCTCTGCACTGGCTCCTGATCTTTTTCACACAGACCTGGTTCCTGAGCAGCCACTGCTCCTCTCCTGTCCCCATGTCCCCTCCAAACAGACCTGCCATCACCCTCCCTCTCTGACCCACAGAGCTGCTGGTCCATCACCCTCAGACCCATGGGGATGGGGCTCAGCATTCTCCTCACCTGCCCTGCCCAAAGAGCAGGGTGCATCACTAATTGACAAACCTAATTAGGAGCTCTGCAGGATGAAGCTTTTACATCCAGAGCAGGGGGCTGCGTTCGACCCCACTCCCAGCTCACCACTGTGTGCTAGGCAGGCTGCAATCCTCGCTCAGGAGAGGAATTGGGGCTGACAAATCTTGTTACCTCTCCTCCGGATGAACAACGAGGGATAAGGGATCTCTGGAGGGGGGGAATGGCTGAAGGGTTGTGGGTGCAGACGCAGCTGTCGCAGGGACGGTCACAGAGCAGAGGTGAGATGGGTGCTGGGTGTCGGGGCTGGAGAGTGTTCAGTCCCCTTGCTGCCTGCTGGCAGCAGTGTGGGGCATCCCCTGGGCCCAGCAGCGGGGCTAAGCCAGGATTGATCCCTCTCTGCACCTTGCAGGAGTGGGCGGACGTGTGTTGCAGGGGGCTCCGGAGCGTCCATGCCTACATCCTGGTCTATGACATCTGTTGCTTTGACAGCTTCGAGTACATCAAAACCATCCGCCAGCAGATCCTGGAAACAAGGTAGGCACCACTTTGCTGGATGATGCATCCTGTCCTGCAGCTTTCAGCTGAGTGGTATGGCTGGTCCCAGTGCTCCCCTGCTCTTGGAGCTGGAGATGAGATATTCAACTGGGACAAGCCAGTTGACTGGGAGCCTAACAGCAAAATCAAAACTGGGACTGAGGGCAGGAGAAGGAGCAGGACCCTGGGCAGGTATCCCCTGTGGGTGAGGGCAGCCATTCCTGGGAGAGAAGCTGTGGGTGGCACGGTGGGTGGCTGTCCATGGAGAGGGACAAGAGGACAGGACAAGGGGAGGCACATCCCACTCAGCAAGCCAAAACCAAGAGCCAGTTTGGGATGGGTTGAGTTCTGTTGGGCCAGTCAGTCATCACACTCTGCCAGTCATCACACTGTGCCCCTGTTCCCTTCTGTCCCCCCTCACCTCCCGCCCTCCCCAGGGTCATCGGCACCTCGGAGACGCCCATCATCATTGTGGGCAACAAGCGGGACCTGCAGCGGGGCCGGGTGATCCCGCGCTGGAACGTCTCCAACCTGGTGAAGAAGACGTGGAAGTGCGGCTACATCGAGTGCTCGGCCAAGTACAACTGGCACATCCTGCTGCTCTTCAGCGAGCTCCTCAAGAGCGTGGGCTGCGCCCGCTGCAAGCACGTCCACACCACCATCCGCTTCCAGGGCGCCCTGCGCAGGAACCGCTGCACCATCATGTGAGCCCCCCCTGCCCCGACGGACCCCCCTTCCCCGGGGACCGCGGCTCCCCAGCGAGCACTGGAGTCTCTGCTCCCCGTGGGGGTGATGCTGCGGTGGGAGCTGTGCTGGAGGCACCTCAGGGTTGGCTTCCCACTGGCGCTGGCTCCCTGCGGTGACATTTGGGGACAGTGCACCCTGGGCAGGGTGATGTGGTGGCCAGCAGCAGGTTGGAGTGGGTGGCTGCGTGGAGGCAGTGATGGGTGAGGGAGATCCTTGACTAAACCCCCAGGCCCTCCCTGAGCCTCAGCTTGAGGCCAAAGCAGTCCCGGGGGGGTTGTACATGGCACCGGAGGGTGGAGAAGATGCTTCAGAGGGTGCCCAGATTTTGGCTGTCGGGTCCATCCCTGCCAGTTCCTGCTCTGGCAGCACAGGGGCAATGCTTGCTGCTGCCTGCCATCCCCTGCCCCTGGAAGGGAATGATCCAGCACCTCTATCCTGATGTGCTGGGAGTGGTTCCATCCCTGGGGCACAGGGAGACAGGAGTCCTGTTTTCCTCCCTGCAGAGCTGGAGTTTCTCCCCTTGGAGGACAGAACAGCCTCCAGCAAGAGGCCAGGTTACACGGGATCTCTTTTGGCTGAGTTGGGTCAGATTTCCTGGTGGAATTTCCAGATGAAAGCAAGAAAGGGGGGAAAAATAATAATAAAGCCCCCACCCTGCCCCTTACATCCCCAGGATGCCGGGAGCTGCCTCCCCAGGGCTCTCAGTCCTCCTCTGCCCCAGCCCAGCCCAGGAAGGCTCCTCCTCCCGGCCAGCCCGTCGAACACCAAATAATCTCGGAACGCTCCTTGCCGGGCAGGTCACCCCTCCGCTACCTCGCGTCCCGGGCTCAGCCAGCGGCCGGCTTTGCACGGCTTCCACCCAAGCCCCCGGTGTCTCCCGGGCGGGTGTCTCCTGTGCCGCCGCACCCACCGGCGGTGCCGAGAGCTCCCACCCGCGCCGGGTTTTCCCATGGTGATCCTGCCTCGATCCCGGCAAGACGCCGCCCTGGGAAGGCAGCCTCCGAAGCAATAGGGAGCTGGAGTTGCATTTGTGGTTGCATTCCTGTTTGTTTGTTTCTGTTTTTGTTTTCTTTTCTCTCTGCATATCCCTATCAGGGAAGTCAGCCTCTCTCATTTAGTTTTTTAATTATTTTTTTAATCTTTCAGCACGTTGTTTTTTTTTCCCCCAGACTTGCAGCTCACCTGCATCCTGTCCTGCAGGGCCAGGTGGCAAAGGGCAGCCCCTGTTAGGAAAAGGTGGTGAGGCAGTGAGGGGTGAGCAAGGGGCCGTGGTTTCTCCTTGGTTGCCCCCTGTGAGGCACGGGGAAATACCATCCTCACCTCCTGAGGCAGGATCTGTGGCTGGTCCATCCTCCAGCAGAACCATCTCCGTGATTCCTGGTGTAACAGGGAGGTGCAGGTGTTCAAGGTATTCAGTGCTGCTCCGGGCAGTAAAGCAGAAGGACACCAGTCCCTCTTCCCCCCAGCCAGGTGTCCATTGCCCAGCAGCATCACCATCCTCTTGGAAACACTTCCTATGAAAGGCAGGTCCAGCTGAGCTCCAACACGGTGCATCCCACCAGCTCACCCCTGCTCCAGGGCTGGGGGGGGGTCACCCTGCTCCCTCCCTGCTTGGGGAACCAAACCCCTTGATCCAAAAAGAAAAAAAAAAAAAAGAAAGAAGAAAATTAAGGGGAAAAAAAGAGACAAGGCAATGGGAGGACACAATTCCATCTCAGCCAGGAAGGGCAGTGGCACTTGTCACCATCCCTTGCCTTCATGGCAAACCCAGCTTCCCCATCCAACCTCATCCCGTCAGGATTTATGAACACGTGCAAGTCCACTTATCGACCTCTGGCTGGCTTTATCCCTCCAAATTGTCTGAGAAGGAAATTCCTTGGTAAATGCTAATAATAAAGCATTTATAAAGTGCTCCGACGTACACATATCAACGACTAAGCCAATACATTGTTTGTTATAACCCTGTAGCCTGCAGTTTATAGCACAATTAGTTACAGGTTTTTATAGCATCTCTTTAGTATTTTGAAAAAAAAAACCAAAAAAAAAGGTTATAAATATAATTGTTATATTCTATTGTACTTTATAGACAGAGGAAGTTATATTAGTAATAATAACTCTCACTGCTTCGTCAGCATTTCCCAGCTCCCAAGAAAATGAGGGCTACAAAGAGCCGCTTTCCCAAAAGCCCAGGAGGGGGTAGGTGGTGGTATCCTGGGTGGTGGCACCCCGGGTGCAGGCAAGGACTCTGAGGCAGGACGTGTCCAGGCACACAGGAATCGGAACGCTCAGGAGCACAGCAGCAGCGACAAGCACCTCATGCCTCACCCCTACTCACACCTGTAGTAAAAAGTGTTCCCACTTCCCCAACGCCACCCTGGTCCTGCTGAAAACAACCTGCTCCTGGGCCTGGGAGAGGCTGGGATGTCCCTGCCGCTGTCCCCAGGACAGTGCTGTGTTTCTGCCCCCGTGGGCGTGGAGGTGATGCCTGGGTTTGGCTCAGCCCCACCAAGGATGCTTCCCTCTCCTCCTTCTCCTCTTGCCCCGGTGAGCATCTCAGTTGCCTGGACTTGGCTTTCCTTTCCCTCCTGGACTTCTTGTTGGAGATTCCCAAGGTGTCTACACCGCCTATAACGCCCTGCACCCCCTTCTTTGAAATCGAATTAAAAATCAGGTCTGTCCCCCTTGTTCTGTACCCGCCTCAGGAGTATTTTTGCAAGCAGGTTTTGCATCCCCGGAGCCCCAGGGCTCACCTTTGCTGTCTCCGCAGGGGTGTGGGGGTGGCTTTGTCCCCTCTTGGAAGATGGGGATCCCTGGCCCCCGTGGGGCTCCTGGAGGGACATTCTTTGTGCCCACAGGGAGCAGACTGGCAGCCGTGACTCCCCCATCAGGATTATCCTCTCTCCCTCCTCACCCACACAAAAAAAAAAGTGTGGAAACAGAAGAGCTTTGGTCCATCTCTATTGCACAAACAGCATTGCTGGGTCAGACTCGGGGTGTGGCCCCATGACCCTCAGGGACAGCCACCACCATGACCCCTCTGGTTCTCCCACCTTCACCCACAAGAAAGCTCGTGGGGGTCAGCAAGGGGCCCTTCCAGTGACCCCCCAACCCGAGTGACTCACTCATTCAGGCTCTTGGAGCTGTGAGACATAAGGCTCATTAGTCCCATGGTACAGACGGGGAAGTCTGAGGTTTGAGATGTTTTACACCTTTGGATGCCAGGGGTGGGGTGTCCCTGCTTTAGTGGGGGTTACACCCCTCTTCCCTGCAGAAAGCATCCCACGCTCTCAATTCGGGGCTGGATTTTTCCACCCAAACCAGCACAAAAGCGCCTGTTTATCCAAAGAGTTACCAGTACAAAAAAAAATCCACAGGGAAGGAGGGCGTGTAGCTCCGAAGAGCGAGGCGGGAGGACTCCCGGGCTGCCTGGGAGTAACCCTATCACGCCGCCCATGCCAACCTCGGGCACTGCAGCTCCAGCTTCAGCACCACTCCCGTTTTTGGAGTGAGGGGTCCGTCCCCACCGGCACTCGGGGAGGGCTCAGACCCAGGACTCCTCATCATCCTCGGTCAGCCAGGCGCTGCAGTCGGCCGGGGAGGGCTTGGCCGGGGGGCGTGTGCTGCCGGGCGGGGGGGGTCTGGGCGGCCCCGGGGGGCGATGCTGGCCCCGGCGGGCAGGTGGGCGATGCCCCAGCGGGGTGGGGATGCGCGAGGGGCGCTTGCCTGGCCTGTGGTCCCGCCGGGGACGCACCTTGGGCCGCAGCTTCAGCTTGTAGATGGAGGGCACACGCTCAGGCTTCTTCAGACACCGCCGGGGCTTGGGGACGTTGTTGGCCCTCACTCCTTGTGGAGTCTGGGACCCCACTCCCGGCCCCTCTGCTTCCCCCCTGGCTGGGAGGGTGGGGGGCTGTGGGGCAGCTCGTGGCGGTATTTTGGGGACCTGTCTCCCCAGCCCCACAGGGCACAGGGGTTGCTGCCTGCGGGAGAGCTCCTCCACCACCCTGTCATAGCCGGGGGGCTGTTTGTGCCCCCAGCACCCCCGAGGACCCTTGCTCCCATCACCAGGGCCACAGGCTCCCCTCAGTTCATCCTCTGGCACCCCAGGTCCCTCAGCACCCCCAGCCCTTGGGTTCAGGGCTGGGTGGCACTGCTGTGTCCCCTGGGGACCACCTCCAGCAGCACAGACTTTGCACCCCTCTGCAAACTGGGCCAGAGGGGTGGGGGGCCGGGAGGTGGCCAGGCTGGCTTTGATGGGGGTTTTAACGCTGCTGTTCTGTTTTGGGGGCTGGCTGGAGGAATTTCGGGGTGAGGGGGATTGGCCCCGGCTCAGGGCTCCCCGTCTCCCTTCCCGTGGGCTTTTCTGTCTCTGTGAATCTCCCTGGGCACCTCGGTGTGAGGAGGGGCCACAGCCCTTGAAGGGGCTGGGGGCACGGGGTGTCACTGTGGCGGGTACCCCTGTTTCCTGTGGCCTGGCAGCCACCACAGGTGATTCTCCTCCTTGCTGGGTGCTTCTTGGACGTGCTGGTGTCACCCGTGGGCTGGGTGCTGTGGACCTGCCCCGTGCCAGTGCCACGGGGGTTTTCCCTGGGGTGCTCCCATGTGGTGCCTTAGGGACCCCCACACCGTTTGGCAAGGTCAGCCGGGAAGGGGTGGGTGCCCGGCCCGTCACCCCGTGGCCAGGGGAGCTGGGTCGAGCAGGAGCCCTGGATGGTGGTGGCTGCCTCCCCGGAGGGGCAGCCAGTGGCTCCCGCATCCTGCAAGGAGAGAGAGAGCGGAGAGGAGCCGGAGAGCTGCTGCATCCCCCCACCCAGCCTGGTGTGGGCACATTCAGAAGGGAGGGGGGAAACAAAATTCAAGGATGTGAGGAAAAACTGCTCTGAAACCAGGCGGTTTGGGGCACGAACCATCTCTGCACCACTTACCTGCTGGAAGGGACCCTCCGGGGCTGTGCTGGCTCCCGGCGAGGGCTGGCACCCTGTGGGTGACCCGAGCTCTGTGGTGAGGGGGTGGCAGGGGACTGGGGGCGAGGAGGGACACGGGACCCCCAGGTGACGGGGGGCAGGGGGCTCTGGGAGCGGCTGACCAGCAGCGTGGGATGGGGACCACGGGCGGCCGCCTTCGAGGCCGGGCACAGCCAGACCTCGTGCTGCACTTGCTGCTGCGGGCTCCTGGTTTTACAGGTTTGTTTGTGAGCTGCGGGAGAAAACGGAGAGGGGTTCGGCATCCCTGTCCCCTGCACCCACCCTCGAGTGCAGCCCCCCAGCCATCGCTCAGCATCCAGCCCCCGAGGATGCTGGCAGAAAGCTGCGCTCCCGGCGAAGGGGCTTTTGGGGTCTGGCTGCATCTGAAAGTCTCCCATGACCTCTAGTGGCCACCGAAGCCAAAGAGAGTCCCCGAAACCAGATATTCCCCGGCAAAACAACGAGGCACGGCTGTACAAAAGCCTCCTGCTTTCAGGAGCCTCCTGCTCCTGAAAACGGCCACAGATGCATCAAGACCCACGGCAGACACCCTTCCGCCCCTACTCAGCCACGGGGTTTGGGGACACGGGGACTCACAGAGGGAGGTGCAGCGACACGGGTCGTGCTTGTCCAGGTAGTGCTCCAGGGTGTCCCAGCCGCCCCCGACCCGCACCATGACGTGCTCCCGCAGGATCTGCACGGGATGCCGTGTGCCGTGAGGCTCGGGGAGGCGCTTGGGATGGGACACCCTCCACGTTTTAATCAGCCTGGGGGTGACACGCTCAGCTGGGCTTGGAGAGCAGTGGGCTTGCCCTAAGTGCCACCAGGTCTCCCAAGGGACAGCTTCATTCCCGGCTCAGCTCCTGCTGCCATTCCAACAGGTACCTTTCATCACCCCAAGGAGAATGGGGACCATTTTGAAAAAACCCTCTCCTTCGTCATGTCCTGAGTTGTTTGGCCAGGCTTAGGGATGAATCCAGGCAGGGACAGAGCTTCCCAGTATTCCTATTACTGGGTAAGACCTGGCTCTGGCTTGGTGAGGGACAGCCTGTTTTGCCCTGTACACATGGATGGTTACACTGACAGCAAACACTGACAGCAGGGCTGAGCTTCCCTGCTGCCCCGCTTTGGGAATGATGGTCAAAACACCCACATGGCCCCATTTGGGGGATGGATTATGGAAGAGGCATCGAGGCAGCAGAGAAGGATTCCTTGTGCCTGTGCCCCAAAAGCACAGGGAGCAGCAGACTCACCCGGACGAAGATGAGGGTGTCGGAGTCGCCCACGCGGTATTTCCCTTCGGATATCTTGATCATGGGGAACTGGACAGGGCAGGTGCAGCGGCTCACCAGGTGCTGGACCTGCAGGCAGCAGGAATGGGTCCTGGAATGGCCATCCCCATCCACCTCCATCCCCATCCCCATCCCCATCCATCCCCATCCATCCCCATGCTCATCCCCATCCCATGCCCCTCCGCACCATCTGGTCGAGGTTGTTGAGGTCCCGTGGTTTCCTGGGGGGCCGGGGCAGGGGGGTGTTTGTGGGGGGCAGGTCCAGCTCCTGGCGAAGCTCCTCCTCGATCTCCTCCTCCATCTGCACCAGGGTCGGGGCGCGCATGCCGAAGCGGGAGGCGCGACGTGCCAGCTCCAGCAGGCACAGCACGAAGTTCTTCTCGTTCTTCCTCAGCACCAGGTCCTCCGTCTCAAACATCAGCACATCTGGGGCAGGGCAGGGCTGGGCTGAGCCAGGGCTGGCACGTGGGGATGGGGACAAAGGGGACGGGGGCACAGATGGAGTCAAAACCCGCCCAAAGGGGTGCTATTCACTGGAGCCATCCCGCTGGGAATATGGTTGGGTTCAACAAGAGCTGGGATAAATTAAAGGATTTAAGATTTTCTTGGGCTTCTACGGCTGTTTCATGGTATTGCAAAGCCACGAAACTCACGTCTGGGTGCCTTGAGGGTGTGTCACTCTGTGCCATTCCCCTTCCTGGGCAGCCACTGGTGGTAGGACAGGCTGACAGACCCTTTGCTGAGCCAGGATTTCTCCTGCTCTCCTTACAGCTGGGATCATGCCATGCCTGGCAGGGACACACTGGGCCATACACCCTTTCCTTTTCCACTCCTCCAGTGCATATTTGCACCCAAGCAAACACACTGGGTGTGTGCCAGCACCTTGCAAAGCTGCTGCCAAGCCTGGAGGAGCTTGTGCAAGGAATGCCAGCTCAGGGATGCATGCACAGGGTGCTGCCCCATGCTGGGGTGGCACTGATTTTGAGGGACACATGGGAAAACACCCGGGCTGATGTCAGAAGCACCTGGAGGGGATTGCACACACAGACACAGGGCAACGGGAGCCTGGCATCTTACCTTTGATATCCATCTCCTTCCTGCACCACTGGATGAAGTTGGAGACGTTGTCTCTGGCCTGGAAGGTGCCCGGCTGTGCTGTGAGGTTGCAGGTGACACCGGCAGTGGGCAGGCGGAGGTGACGGGCCACGTCGGGGTAGGTGCGGGCGAACTCCCCGGCCACCTGGGTGACGTTGTTGGCGTGGGAGCAGAGCACAGCCCCCGTTTCCAGCACCTCCACAAAGGTGCCCACCCCAATGTCCAGGTCATACAGCTCCTTCAGCCACTCCGCCAGGTCCTCCTTCATGGCGTACAGGTACTGCTGGCTGGTCGGGTAGGGACGGATGCTCCGCACCAGGCCCGGAGTCCCCCACATTCTGCCATGAGACTGGGAGGAGGTTGAAGGAGAGGGGACATGGGTGATGGGGACATGGGGAGCTGCCCCGGCCATGCCCCCAGCCCACCTCTCCAGCAGCCACACTCACCCGGTACCACTTGCTCCCTGTCGTCTGGGACGGTGATGCCGCCGTCCTCCTGGTGTCCAGAGCCCTTCTGGGGTCTGAGGGCTGAAGGAAATCGCCCTCCTGGGCAGTGGGTGTTTTGTTTCCTTCCCAAGTGCTGATCCCTTCTCCTTGGTGACAAGGGACTGGCTGCAAACACTCCCTGTTAACCCTTCAGCACCTGCTCCTCCCCAGCCATGCCAGGGGTGGATTTTCCCCTGAGGGCTCTGGCTCCAGGACAGGAAGGAATTAGCAGCTCATCAGCTTCCCAAGTTGCTCACAACCACATGAGAGGGATTTTCCCCCCTTCCCGACACCCCTCCACCCACCTCCACCGCAGGTGGGGTGACCTGGTGGCCCTACAAGACACATCTTCAGTGCAACCTCAGAGTAAGGAGGGTTTATTTCCACCCCCACCCTTGGGCTTTCTCTGCCCTGTGCTTCCTTGCAAACTTCTTCCCAAATTGCTCACAACAGCGAGGTCCTTGGTAAAAGCCAAGCTCCTCCAGGGACAGCATGACTCCAGGAGTTGGGGCTTTAAGGAAATAACTACACATGAGTGGGCACCTCTGGGAATGTGGGATACTCCCTCCCTAACCCAGGGCTTGCAGAGCTGCAGCAGCACCCAGGTACTTCTGCAAAAAGCAAATCTACCAGGGAAGTGCTCATGCCTCAGGACCAAAACAGAGCCTCTCATGTGCTCAGGGGGCTCTGTTGTGGGCTTTGGGGGGTTTCTTGCTGTGTTGAGAGACCTGTCCTCTCTCTGGAGCCAGCTGCTGATGCTCACTGCAGCTCAGTGTCCAGCCAGTGTCATTTTGGGGGAGGAAATGCAAGAATCCCAGCTATTCTGCCCGGGAATGTGTGGCAGGCTGGAGGAGTCTTCGCCTGGCATGCCCAGCCAGGGAGCCCAGCAGGAGAAAAGGACCCTTGTGAAGCTGGATTTCCAGCCAGGGCACCCAATGGGGTTGACTGCACAGCTCAGAGTGTGAGTTCACCTCCCCCAGGTCCCCCCCACATCAGTGGGGTGCAGCTGATACAGCACAGTCACCCCATCCCTGCCAGAAATGCTGTGCTCAGCCCCAGCCCCGGCAGCATCACAGGACCCCAAGGCTCCCGATGGGACACAGCCACAGGAAACACACAGCAGCAAGCCAGTGAGGAAAAGGAAAACCCAAAAAGGGGAGAGGATTTGAGGTTGTCCCATCCTCACCTTGCAGTCACACAGCAGATGGGATGCCTGCTTTCTCCTAGGGGAACAGGAAAGGGGATAATGAACTGCTGCTTCTCGGCAAAGCTGCAGGTGTAGAGTATCCCTGGGCTACAGCCTGGCCCAGAAATCCTCCTGTACACGGAGCAGGAGTGACACTGCTCTCCTGACCCTGCTTGACACCCAGAGCAAATGCCTTGACTGAAAGACCTTGTCCAGTGCCAGTTTTCCCCATGAATCCTCCATCCCCCCATCAATCCCTCCATTAATCCCCCATCACCCCATCAATGCCCCCATTAATCCTCCCATCACACTGCAGATCCCACAGCCAGTGGCAGCTCAGGGAGCTGGTTGGGGTGTTCCCTGTCCCTTGGGAAGTAAGGATCCACCTTCACACACTTCAATAGGCTGGAGGTCCCCCATCAGTGTGAATTCAGCCTGGGGAAAAAACCTATTAACACATCCCAAGGTGTGGAAAAATCCTCAGTAATTTGGGAGGAAGTAGGGAATACAGTTTCCCTGTTTTCATCACCACCAGTGAGTTTACAGTGGGATCCATTTCCTCCCTTTGATCCAGCAAGCACAAAAGCTGAGGCCAAATTCAGCAATACCCACTCCAACCCCAAACACCCACAGGCATCTTAAACACAGCCCTGTCAGGAAACTGGAGATTGGCTTTACAAAAAAAACAAAAACAAAACAAAACCAAACTGGGACATGAAAACAGGCAGAAATCCCAATGCCACGCATCCAGAGGTTCGTTTTATTTGCCAAGAGGTTTCCAAGCCCTTGGGACTCCCCGCAAGCCTTATTATCATTCAATTCCGAATGAAAATGCTGCAGCCCCGTTTCTTTGGCAACGCTGAAAGTCCCCTGAGATTTTAAGCAGATGAAGTGACCATGTTCGAGCACGAAGGGCTCACTCATAAGTTTTATGAAGAACAGGAGGAGTGGTGGATCTCCATCCTGCCAAACCCACATCCCAGCTGGCAGCTGGCTGCACCGAAAACCCTTGGGAAGGACCAGCCTTGGCACCCTGCCTGGGGCAAGCCTGGCTCCTGCCCTCTCTAGGGAAGGTTTAGGGTGAGCGAGGACAAGTGGAGGATGTTGTGCTGAAGAAAAGAATCCTCAGAGCTGCTGGCATGGGGAAGGCACCCTGGCATGGCACCACAGCACAGCACCCTGACACAGCACCGGCACAGCAGGACCACCCCAAAGCTGTGCTGGGGTCTGAGTCCTGGGAGAACCAGCAGTGACACAGCAGCCCACCTGTGTATGACCCCAGCACAGTGAAAATCCCCGAATCTCTCAAATCAAAGGACATTTTAATAAAGTTGAGCCCTGTCTTGCTCATCACCGATGGCATTTGCTGCCACGGAATTCCAGCCCTGGGAAGCTGATGCTTGCCCGTGTGCTGTGGGACACGATGGCCCTTTGTGGACATGACAGGTGACTGCACAGGAGCCAGCGGCGTTTCCAGGTGGGGAGCCTGCTTCGGGAAAGGAATGAGGAATATGCAGCCGTGCTGTCCTTGTGAGCCTGCATGCACAGACATGTTTGTCCTGCTCACCCTCTCCTCTTTCCCTCCTCCCCCAGTAATTTGTCAACCCCGTGTTCATCCAACTGTGGCACAGGGACTCAAAAACACACCAATCCTGTCTCTTGCAGAGACAAAGCAGAGCTGCCCGTGAGCTGCACAGCCACATGGTCATATCTCAGCTGTGCCTCCCCTCTCTCTCCACCCCAAAGAGGCTCCTGCACCAAACCCCTCTGCTTTCTCCCCCCAAATCCCACTGTGTTGATGTCTCCAACTGGTGCCTCAACAGAGCTCTGGGATGTGAGCACAGCCCAGCAAAGCATCCCCGACCCCCCATCCCTGGGGTTCTGAGCACACAGTAGGGGCAAAGCTTAACACGGATCCAAAAGTTTGTCCAAATGTCTCTTTTCCTTTTGTTTTAAGCAGGAAACATTCTCAGTCTCATATTTAAAAGCATCCAAACCCCAAGGCAAGCAGTGGCGAGGCACTTCTCTGTCTGGTAGTGGGAAAAAAACAAATATCAACAAATATTAACAAAGATATCAAAAAGTAGCAACAAACCCCAGTCCTGCTTTGGAAAAAAATGTGTAATGATATCCTGAATGTTAACAGGAATGGGTGTGATTGCAGTCTCCATGGCTTATGTATTTTTTGTGGTCTTTTGAAAAAAAATACTGTCTCCCAAAGCCTCCAGCCCACCTGGCTGTGGCAGACCTGTCCCACTGCATCCATGCTGTGCTGGGACACTGCTCCACCATCCCATGGCTCCAGCCATCCACAGGCAGCCGGTCTCCCTGCCAAACCATCCTCAGACAGGAAGCCAGAGTCAAAGAAAGAGGGATCCAGGCAGCGGTGAGCGAGGTGGGGTTCAGACCCCCGTTCCATCCCAGCAGGTTCTGCTCAGAAGAGGACCTGCCCGCTGTTTGCATCCCAGCAGCCCATCCAGGGGAGCTGGGTGGCCCATTTGCCAGTGGCCACCACTTGTAGCTTTGCCCGGTCGAACTTCCAGAACTGCTCGTCCCGGAAGAAGTAGATGAAGCTGTCGCGGTGGGTGAGGGCCCCGGCCGTGCCGGGGGGCAGCCCCTGCCAGTCCCGCAGGCTGCGGGGGTAGTAGGGCTCCACAGCGAGGGTCTCCTCACTCACCACGAAGTATTTGGGGCCCTTGAACAGCACCAGGCGCCGGAGCTGCTGGAAGAAGAGCGCGGTGTCTGGGTGCCGAGGGAGGCCGCGGGCGCTGCACTTTTGGGGAAAACCTGCCTCCAGGGTGGAGCCCGCGTAGCGCCAGCACCGGCCACCTGGGGAGAGACAGGGAGGGGGTCAGAGCCCACCCTAGAGGGGTCCATGGCAGGACCAGCTCCAGGAGATGTGGAAAGACTCAGCCATGGAGCCAGTCTTGTGTATGTGATGTCCATCCCACTGGTGACCCAACCAGCACCACTGCAGGGCTGCCCCAAGGAACAGGTTGGGGGGAAATTGAGGCACAGCAGCTCAGGGGTTTGAAGGCACAGAAAGGGACTGCCAGGGACAGAGCAAGGCCCCCCTCCCCTCCCATGCTGCTTCCTTGAAAACCTCCCCCTGTTCCTGCACAGCGAATGGGACAGACAGACCCGGACCTGACCTGGGCTGGGACAACACTGCAGCAGCAGGAATTGTGAGGGGGACCGATGGCTCAGCCATCCCCACAGTGCCCTGTCCCCACAATGCCCCGTCCCCACAGTGCCCTGTCCCCACAGCGTCCTGTCCCCACAGCACAGGCAGACAAAAGCCCCTTTCTGCTCCCAAGCTGCAGCCTGACCCAGCCCTGGAGAGGGACGGAGGGAGCGGCGAGGGCTGGGGAGGCAGAGGGGCTTTGGCTCCCACCCAGCAGCAGCAACAAAGCCCCTTTTCTGAAGAACCAGCAACTGGTTTCCATTAAAAGCTGGGGCTGACCCTGGCAGCCGGGCTGCCTGGTTTGACCTTCCTCTCCCCATCCGGCTGTGGTGTGCTGCCGGTCAGCTTATGGATGGCATTCCAGCTCCGGGGACAGCTCAGCCCCCGGCACGACACAGGGATCCATGTGTGCCACGAAAACACCACACTCAGCTCCTCTCCACCACGTGTCTTTGGGGAGTGTTCTCTCCCCGAGACCCCAC